AAGTATAGGTGAAATCTGAGCTTCCAGACAGGAGTTATGGTGACTTCCTGTTTTGTGGCAAATGTTTGACAAGCACTTCCTTTATGCTTTTCAACATGTCACGTGTGGTATAGGGCATTAACAGAGTACTCGAGTAATCTACCCATCGATTGCTAGGACCTCTATCGAGGTTAAAAATGTTATGTCGAGTATCCGTAGTGACGTCATATTATGTGACCACCGTATGACCGTAGGGGGCGGTGTTGCACTGTTGCAGGTAACAGAGTATGGTGTAACACCCGGGTCCAATCCACCGAACCAGTTTCGGTTTAAGTTTTGTTTTTGACGTGCTGCACGTTTCTTCACATTTGCAGTTTAATAATAATAACTAATAGTTTAGTTTTTCCTGTGACTTATTTGCAGTATGATAAATGGTAGTAACATAATATACGCTCCCAATGTTTTGTTGGTCTTTTTTTGTAAATAATTACCTTTTTTTTGCAGTTTTATTTATTTATTTATTTTTGTATCTTGAGATCTATGACGTCATCAAATACTCGAGTTCTACTTGGGTTTTATTATGTTAATGTCGAGTTTAAAATGATACTCGTTCAACCCCTAGTTTGGTACTCAACAGTTAGCGAACAAAGTTTCAGTGTAATTTCTTACACAGTGCAAAGCTGGAAGTGCCATCCAATAATCAACAGTTTTTTCTCTTGAGTAGATGGGGCTTAAGTGATATCATGAATCAACAATACCAATGTGTCTACAAGTGTTCACTGATGAAGCACAAAAACTCAGGTTCAGATTGGCTGATGTATCACTGAGATATAACTGTTGGAATAATGTAGGGGGCGCACTTGAGTCCAATGTTAAAGAACAATATCAATGTGTCTAAGTGCTCACTGATCATGCACATAAAATCTGGTACATATTGGATGATATTTCACTAAGATATAACTGTTAGAATAATGTAGGGGGTGCACTTGAGTCAAAAGTTAAACAACAATCCCAGTGTGTCTAGAAGTGCTCACTAATGACATACCCAAAATCTGGCGTAGATCGGATATTATATCACTGAGATATAACTGATTAAATAATCTAGGGGGCGCACTTGAGTCATATGTTAAACCACAATATCAATGTGTTTAGACGTGCTCACAGATTATACATTAAAAAAAATCTGGTTCGATCGGATGATGTATCACTAAGATATAACTGTTGGAATAAACTAGGGGGCGCACTAGAGTCATATGTTAAACCACAATATCAATGTGTCTAAAAGTCCTCACTGATCACGCACAATAAATCTGGTGCAGAATGGATTTTGTATCACTGAGCTATAACTGTAGGAATAATGTAGGTGGCACTTTGGAGGCTATTGACCACTTATCATGGCTTTTTGTTCAAGGGGTGGATAATGATCGATCATACTGATTTTGGTGCACCTCGGTTCAAATCTGTGGATTTTAGAGCCAAACATATGGCGACGGCATTACTTCTTAATTCACCACGCCGCCACGCCCACATTCTCAAACAAAAATGGTTTGCACTTTAAATCAAGTCAGACCATATTATCTGTCTTCTAACACAGGATCATCTTGATTATGTCAATGGTGTCAAATAGGGAGTATTCCAAGTTAAAAAAAAAGAGACTTCCTGTTCCAAGGGGGCGGGGCTTTGATTACGTCAAAATATGACGACAGTGGATCGTCGGGCATCCAACAGGGATGAGTCATGCCAAGTTTCGTGCATTTCGATCTTTCATTGTAAAAGTTATAGTGTTTGGAAATTTATGGCGTGAAGCGAAACTTTGAGGCCTGGCCACGCCTCTTTGACATATACAAGAATGCAAGCTTTAGATAACTTTTACTCTCCAATGTCCTAAGGGCATATCAACCAAGTTTG